AAGCAGACATACCTGCCCGAGTGTCCATCTCCCTTTCCCGGCCCTTGTCAAAATCATCAATTCAAAAGCGCGCGAAATGAAAAAGAAAGAAGGGAAAAAACGCGCGCGAAAAAAAAAAAAAAGGCTAAAGCGTGCGCTATTTGTACAAATTTTGTGTTGACGAGAGAGGAAATGAGAAAGAATTTTATCCTTAACACAATAGGAGGCCACGTGTCTTCTTCTCATTGGCTTTCATCACTCAGCGTCGAACACGACGCTATGTCTCCTGCCATCTGTTGATTACCCCATCTTTAAAAGGGGACGGAAGGGAAGAAGCGTAAGGTAGGTAGGGCGATGGGGCCAGAGAGGAGGGAGGGAGGGAGGGTGGGAGGGAGGGAACAGCAAGGAGGCGGGAAGGGAGAAAAAGACGTCCCAATGAAATATCAATCTATCTGTTACACATCGTCAAACAGAGCTACCCGGTAACTAACCGTAGGCAGGAAGCGTAAGGTAGGTAGGGCGATGGGGCCAGAGAGGAGGGAGGGAGGGAGGGAGGGAGGGAGGGAACAGCAAGGAGGCGGGAAGGGAGAAAAAGACATCCCAATGAAATATCAATCTATCTGTTATACATCGTCAAACAGAGCTACCCGGTAACTAACCGTAGGCAGGCAGAGAGGGAGGGAGAAGAGGACAACATATATATATATATCGTCACATTCACATTCACATATATATGATATATATATCGTCACATGAATATGAGAGCGCAAAAGCGAAAAAAAGAAAAAAGAATGAATTCGTTTTTTTATATCTTCTTCCTTACAACTCCCCCTGTTCAGAACCTCTTGCGTACAAGGCCGCCCACGTGGATGCAGGTTGAGCGGCGGCTGCCCCATATATATATATATCGTCAAATAGAACTGCCCGGTAAACCGTAGGCAGAGAGGGAGAAGAGGACAACAAACGAGGGGCTGTGACAAACTGTTTCGTCGGAGTTTCACCATATATATATATATATATATTGTCACAAAGTTATCAGAGCGCAAAAGCGAAAAGAAAACAGAAAGAAAACAAAAAAAAAAAATAAGTTTTGTATATTCTTCCTTACAACTCTAACACTGAAAATTGAAATATGTACAAGTAAAGCCAGTGCCCCGCAACAAATTCGATTAATTATCCCTGGACTATAGTAAAGTTGTTGTTGTTAAAAAAAAAAAAAAAAAAAAAATCCGATTTACAGCTACCACATATATCATGTCAAGTGGTAATAAAACGAGCTGAGAAAAAAAAAAAAAAAAAAAAAAAAAAAAATTGAAATCTCCAGTCAACCAGCAGGAAACAGAGAATTCAAATAAACTTTTGTGGCTGTGAGCATGAACAAACACAGAAGCTTCTCTTCCATATTTTGTGCGTGGCAGCGCTGTTGACGCCAACACCAAATGCTAATCAGGTCTGATTTTTTTAATTCGTTCATCCCTTTTTTCACCGATACAAATATAAAATCAATCCATCCATTCATTGATGAGTGGAAGAAGGTTCCACTGAGCGGAATTTGACGACAATCCTGACTGGATTCAAATCACAGAGAGAGACGTGATAAGCATTTGGTGTTGCCGTCAACAACGCCGGCTCGCACAAAATATGAAAGATGAGCGACGCAACCCGGTGTGGCAACGTCCCGACCAATAGAATTGAGATCGAAATTTACAACAAAAAAAAAATGATAGCAATGCAATGACGGAAGGAGCTCCAGATGTGAGAAAAGATAGAGAGAAACAGCATAGCAGC